TGAAGAGTAGAGTTCAAGACCATACTGGGCAACATAGGGAGATTCCCACCTCTACCAAACATAAAAAAATTGGCTGGGGGCAGTGGCTCACACCTGTAATCCCAGCACTTTGGGAGGCCGAGGTGGGCGAATCACCTGAGGTCAGGGTTTGAGACCAGCCTGGCCAACACAGTGAACCCTGTTCTCTACTAAAAATACAAAAATTAGCCAGGCGTGGTAGCACACGCCTATAGTCCCAGCTACTCGGGAGGCTGAGGCAGAAGAATCGCTTAAACCTGGGAGGTCGAGGCTGCAATGAGCTGAGATCACAACACTATACTCCAGCCTGGGTGACAGAGCAAGACTCCGTCTCAAAAAAAAAAAAAAATCAGCCAGGCATGGTGGCACATAAATGTCCCAACTACTGGGGAAGCTGACACAGGAGGATCACTTGAGGCCAGGAGTCCAAGCCTGCAGTGAACTATTATCATACCACTGCACTCCAGCCTGAGCAACAAAGCAAGACTCCATCTCAAAAAATAAAAAACCCTCAGATTACAATAAAATACTAATGGAAACCAGCTTCCTCAAAGGTGAGCAAATATTCTTCTATCTTCTAACTACAGCAAAGGAAAAGCTCTATGAGATAAAGAATAAAAACCACAAGATTTAGGGTGGTCTCAAGATGTGCTAGCCTAGTGACCCTATTAGTCTCTTAATCTCTTTTAACCTCAGTGTCCTCATTTGTAAATGGGGACCATAATACTTGCCTTAGTTACATACAACTGTTGTGAGAATTAAATGAGATACTCCATTTGAACGAATGTTATAAAACAAAAAAAACTATTTTTTAGATAACAGGGCTTATTTTTAAACAGAACACCACTTTATTTACAAACTGTGATCACAGAACAGTTTAGTACTGTTTCTAACATGAAACAAATGGAAATCAATGCGTAAAACATATAGTTAGGACAATGGTCACCAAATTATACCTATAATTAGAAAATACAGTAAGAAAAGGATATTTTAAAGAAAAGAGTACTTCCCATAGGTTATCTTAAAATCTTCAGAAGTGAATTTGAAAGCATAAAAAACCCAACAATTCATTTAAATGGACTGGTCTAGCATACTGAAGATTAAATATATTTATTTGTTAGCTATGAATTTTAAAAAGTGAGACATTAGCTTAAAAGGTATTTCAAAGTTCTTATGAAGAAAAAACACATGAAAGTGAAACAGACATTCACTTCTCTGGAAATAACTCAGAAAAAGCTATACATATACACATACAGAAAAGGATATACATATACAAGACAACAGAGATGACCATGGACATAATCTGCACCCGTAGCATAATAAAGGCATTCAGTTAAATCTTTCTATGGGCTTCCTAAAAAGTCCAGAACAGAACACCCTCTTTTCAACAGGCCACAGGTTAAATCTATTTATTACATTGTCAGGCCAAGTCCTCCAGTAGGTTATTATGACTCTCAAAAATAATTTATCCTTAATAAGCCTACCTCTTTCTCCTTCATTCCTTATTAGTTACAGAATATGTATATTTATAAAGCCAATCTACATAAAACAATTTTTAGTTTCCTCCTTTCTGCCTCCTTTCTGACACAAGTTTAAAGCTCTAGTGAAGTTGGTCAGGCACCGTGGCTCACGCCTATAATCCCAGCAGTTTGGGAGGCCGAGGTGGGCGGATCACAGGGGCAGGAGATCTCAACAAAAAAATCAGCTGGGTGTGGTGGCACGCGCCTGTAGTCCCACCTATTTGGGAGGCTGGGGCAGGGGAATCCCTTGAACCAGGGAGGTGGTGGTTGCAGTGAGCCAAGAAGGTGCTACTACACTCCAGCCTGGGCAACAGAGTGAGACCCCACCCCACCACCCCACCCCCTGCCAAAAAAAAACCTCTTTTGAAGTGAACTATGTTTATTAAATGGTCCTAGAAACAACCAACTTGCTCAATTACCAGAAGACTTTAAAATAAATTAAATAAGATCCAACAGCTTCTTATCTTTTAATCCAGTCCTCAAATTCACAAATTTAAAAAGGGGTTGGGGAAATGACACATTTAAATCATTAAGGAATTATTCCAAATATAAATAACTTTAGTTAAAAACATTCTTAAAATTTAGTTAAGAACACTAGTTAAAAAACATCTTAGGCTGGGTGCAGTGGCTCACACCTGTAATTCCAGCATTTTGGAAGGCCAAGGTGGGAAGATCACCTGAAGTCAGGAGTTCAAGACCAGCCTGGCCAACATGATAAAATCCCACCTCTGCTCAAAACATAAAATTAGCTGGTGTGGTGGCACCTATAATCCCAGCTACTCGGGACGATGAAGCAAGAGAATTAGTTGAACCTGGATGCGGAGGTTGCAGTGAGGCAAGATAGTGCCACTGCACTCCAGCCTGGGTAACAAGAGTGAAACTGTCTCCAAAAAAAAAAAAAATCTTCAATCAAGGCTGAGATTAAAAGATGAAGTTCCTGTCAGAGCAACTACTACTTTTTGAACTTCTTTCACTTCCCTCTGAAAGCTAGGTTCACTTCAATATATCATTGAACTAGAACTTCTGATAATAAAAAGCTTTTCTCAGGATCAGGACAACCCCATTCTATAAAACTAAGCAATTTCAGCCCCAGACTTATTTCCTAGCTGTTTATGTGATCACCAATAGAATTAAATGTAAGCCTTCATTTTCTCCCAGAAATCTTAATTCTATCCCATTATATTTCCCATAATTTATATTTCCTAGGGTCAAAATACAGAGCACATCATGTCTAATTTCCAGTTCTCTCCAGTTGTTCATGTATACCTCAACTCCCAACCCAGAGTCTAAGTTTCTCAAAGACAAAGTTAATGCCTTTCACTTTTCTCTTCCACAGACTGTGGCATAATTGGAACAACAATGAGGCGATCCTAAAGAGGTATCACAAATTAAGGAAACCCACTGCCCCAACTTTACATTACCAAATAATGCTTCCAGGATGAATCAAGAGGATGATGATATAGGTGTCACAACGCAATCATCACAATGTCAACATGACCACAAAGAAGCCTATTCTAGCTAGTTAAGTTTCTCAGAATCTCATTTATGTAGTTGGAAGCCATCCCTGGTACAACGATCATTATGCTATTAGTATACAGTGTCTACCTCTGTCCTGGACACTGAACAGGTGATCAACAACACTTAAAAAATGTAAACCTCAGCAGACATAAGTAAGTATACTGGCAATTCCTATGTGCTGGCTTTTTACTTTCCACTTGCCCAATGGCCTTTCAGAAATTATTAAAGTAATACAGAGAGATGTTCAGTTATTTCTATGGGGCATGTTAAAAGTACAAAGAACGTCAGCAGCCTCCATACCATGAAAATCTCAACCTGAGGCAGCATTCCAAACTAAGGAAAAATAGTAAAGGGCATCATTTGTCTCTGAAGCAGAGGCAATCATCAAATCTGTATTTGTAAATTACCATTAATTTCTACCAATACGACCACCTCAGTGTCTGAGATTACAAAAATCTGGTAGGAATCCATAAAATGTTCTGAGACAGAGTACAAGAAAGCTGTCATTTACTTTGAGTTCTGCAATAATTAAAAATCTATTGTTGGCCGGGTGCAGTGGCTCACGCCTGTAATCCCAGCACTTTGGGAGGCCAATGAGGGCTGATCACGAGGTCAGGAGTTCAAGACCAGCCTGGTCAACAAGGTGAAACCCTGTCTCTACTAAAAATACAAAAATTGGCTGGGCATGGTGACTGAGTCTATAATCCCAGCTACTCGGGAGGCCGAGGCAGGAGAATCCCTTGAACCCAGGAGGCAGAGGTTGCAGTGAGCTGAGATCTCATCACTGCACTCCAGCCTGGGTGACAGAACGACTCCGTCTCAAAAAAAAAAAAAAAATCTATTGTTATTAATGTTACTATCATATCCAATAAAAATAAATTACACATTAAGGCAAAAGAAAATAAACTAAGACCTTAACCACAAAGAGAGGATGAAAACTATACAGTATTTGCAACTTAGAAAAGTGAGGTTTGGCATGGTCATGAGATGATGTGAATGATGAAATGTGCCTTTAATGCCTGCATATCTTAGTTTACATTAATTTCTCAAAAGTTGGCTAACAACAAAAACCACTTAAATAATAAGCTAATAAAATAACTGCCATAGAAAATACTGAGGTGCCATTATTGTTACAGTTAAAAGAAGGAACTGTAACACAGTATAGCTGCAGTCTCATCTGAATTTACCACCTGAAATCATTAACTTTTATCATAATTGAAAGCAAAACTCACATAACAATGATATTCCTAACTGTAGAAATATTTGATTTTAAAATACAATACCCAGAAAAACAGAACACGAAATGTGACCAAATTCCTCAAAATTCTCATTACCCTACAAATTATTTAGTTTTGCTTGTACAACTACTACAAAATCAGGACACTTAGTCACAAAATTTTTAATAGCTAGCAATACTACAGAAAGAAGATTAGGCGAATAAAAGACATTTCCAACTAAACCAAATAAAATTACACATTTAAAATACTATGAATGACACAGGGATAAAAAGAAAAATAAAAACATATTTTAGGCAAGTAAGTCAAAGTAAAAAACTTTCATCTTGTTTCACCTGCCCGCCCAAAGGTAAGAAAAACACAGAGTAAATTATGCATTTAAAATCTATCCACGGTGGCTGAACAGAAGTTATTAAAAAGGACCTGCACACTATACACTCTATACCAAAGATCTATATACTGCAGGCTGATTTTCCCTATAGTTTTATATCACCATACAAAATAAGGTTTTATAATGCTAGTAGTTTAAAAAAAAAAAAAAAGTACTTAGAAGCATATAAATACACAAACAAAAAGGAAAGAATTAACTTATACTTTGCTTTTAAAGCTTGATAAACATGTAGTTAGAACTACAGAAATTATATGATGCTTCAAATTTAAAATAATATAATTAATAGAAATAGCTAATTTTAAGAATGTTTCAACTTACCTGGCTTCTTTCTGGATTTTTCATGACCTAGCTGTCCTAGATCATTACATCCACATGTGTACACGGTTCCATCATCCAGAACAAATACAGTATGTCTGAGTCCACATCCTACATCTCGGACCTTTTTATTTATAAAAAAGTCACTTTTTCTGGGCTCTAGTACAATTTCTTCATCAATTCCACCCAAACCTAGCTGTCCAAAGGATGCATTTCCCCAGCACAACATGCTTGTAATTATTTTGGTCTTCCAGTTTCAATAAAAAATTCTCTTCTGAAACCCCGGAAAGTTGGAGGTACCCTATGTCTGAGGAGACAGAAAGAAGTTAATATGGCTTCAAAGAAAAAAGGATGTATAATTGCTCTTTAAAGTGCTAGGCTACAATAATTGCTACATAGTAAACATTAAATATACTTTACGATATGCTACATAAGTATCAGTTTCAAAAACCACTCAGTTGTATTTTTTTAAATGTATCATTCAGAAATTTTTAGGGAAAATGTGTCACTTTCTATGATCCTTTGCAAAATTTACAACATATTAACCAGTTTTGACTTCTGGTTATCTTGTGATAGGCTAAACTAATGGGAATAAGTAGCCTGATGAAATTAATCACAATTTTTTTCTACTTTTTGCTTTAAATAATTTCAATGGGAGCAAGAAATATGCCATCTTTCCGCTGCCCAAAAAGCAAATATACACAATGAAAAATTTAGCCAACTGCAGAAACATAACCTTGCAATCTCCCTCAACTCCTAATATAATTAAGCCTTCTAATACCTACCTCCACATCAACAGAAAATGGAAGTTCTCATCTGTAACAGAAATAAAACCAATAAAGGAAATTTAAAGCAATTTTCTACAATTTAAACGACTCTTCCAATTATTCTTAATAGGCCAGAAAGAAAATGAGGATTCTTATCAAACCATAATCTTAAATCACCTCCAAAGATCCCATTTTTCAAATAAAAATACTCACATTCCAACCTCACTAATTTAATTTTAAAACTAAATCAATGTGCATAATTATACTACGGAAAAAAAAAAATGCAGTTTAAATATCAATTGTCTCCAAAAGTCAACTTCTTTTATTACAAGTGGTAACCGGAACTAAAAACTCTCCCATGGGCAATCTGTATCTATCCATACCTCTGAGACAATAATTTAAAGATTGGCGGGCGGCAGGGGGGTGGCGGAGGGGATTGCAAATAACTCTCGCACTGCTGATTTTTCAAGAATAGGAATGGGGGCTGGGGCACTGACAGTCTGATGGCGAAATCTGTAGAACTTTCCAGCACATTGACTGAATATTTCTTTACTTGTAAAGAAAGACACAAATAACAGAGGCCACTTCATCTATACCTACATAGACACATTGCGTTACTAAATATCACAATTACAGAAGTCAGCCTTATTCTGTAGCAGTCACCCACAGTCCTTACACAGAGCCTGCAAGGTTTCAACCTCAATTTTCCTACGTTCCGGCTAGCAAGTGCCCGAGGTGTCCCATTCCACGACCCATCATCCATTAACAGAAGTTTGATTTCATTCTTTTGGGGCATCAGAACTCGGTAATTCCCCAGAGTTCTGCAATGTTTTCCCATATTTAAAAAACAAAATAAGAGTAATACAGGAAAATATCCCGACTTCAGCGCGTGAGGTTTAACCACCCTTTTAAGACACAGGCGTCCTCTCGCCAGCAACAGGTAGGGAAATGAGAAGCAGTTTAGCCCCGTCTCTCCCTGAACGTGCACCCAGATCAGCTCACGGGGACCGGGAAAGAGAAATCATCTACACAACACCCAACCTCGCGGCCGAGCAGACAATTACGGCAACTGCCCGCTTGCAGTAGCCTCAGAAGCCGGCGGCCGAGGCTTGGCACCCCGCGGCCTCAACCTGAGGGAAGCCCGTCCCCAGGGAGGTGCGACATTCCAGCCTAGGGGCCAGAGAGCCCCAAGCCTGCCGTCGCCCCACGCCCCTCACCCCCAGGAAGCGCTGAGAAAGCGCCCCGTGCCGGGCCGGCCTGCATCCGCCCAGACCGGCCTGCCCCTCCCTAACGCCGTCACACGCCCCCGAACCCACTGGGGCCACAACTCGCCCGGCTCCTCAGGGCAGGAGAAGCCCAAGGCGACCGGGGGCGGCCCCTCCCCAGAGAGCAAGGCAGCGCGGTCGCTGAAGCAGGTCTCCGGCTCCTGGGACCCTCCTCCGTCAGCCAGTAGCTACGATCACCAGGGCACCTCCGGCGTCCGTGCCGCTGCTCCGCTGCTCCCCTCCCCGGCCCCTACGAAACTTTACCGGGTTCCTTAGAGAAAAGCGGACGCCGCCGCTGTCCACTCCAGAGACAGCCGTCAGCGACCCGGATGGAGCGGGCGGGGAAGAACTGGGGGCAAGCGGGGCGGAGAGCACGAGGGGTGGGGAGACTTGGGGAAGAGACTGGGTAGGAGAAGGCAGAGGGGGAGGTGGCCACGCGAGGGAGGCGGGGGAAGGGCTAGCCGGAAGTGAACCGCAGAGCACGCGCGCGAGCCCGCCCACTTCCCGGCCCCGGCGCCTGCGCCGGAATTCTCCCAGGGCCCCTGGCCACTCGCGCTTGCGCAGTCTGCAGCTTTGCGTTGCTTTTAGAGGGAAAACGGCAACTACAGGTAGCTGGAGTTTGCGAAGACAAATGGAGAAGGTGTCAGCTGTTTTTGAGAATGCTTCGGCGTTCACCGAGCCTTTTAATAAAGAACATTACTTTGTTTTTTGGTTTGGTTGTATTTGTGCTCATGATTGCTAGTCTTTTTAGTATTTTACTCTTTCTTTTCCCAAGGAGGTTTTAAAGTAGCAGAATAACCATCGCAATTATGAATATAAAGAGTGGTGAAGAGTAATCTTATCCCCTGGCCTCAACTGGAGCCAGTCTGAGGATGTGGGATGTATTGATAGCAATAGCTGAAGCTACTCGAACTAATAACACTACTAGTTCAAGTTCCTGTTACAGTGTTGGCTTCCATCACTTTCTACACTCTCCCTGAACGATAAGCTTGAATTGCAGGGCCTCATTCTATCAGGGAAAATGACACATTTGGCTGCAGTCCCTGCTTCATAAAAACAAAGTCTGGATCTCCTAGGCCAGTCTCAACCTCTTAAAAAGAAGGAGAACTTGAACCAATGCACTTTTGAAATCATAAGTTGGGCATTGATAGAATGAATTCCACGAATAGACCATCTTTTTCTTTTCTTTACTTTTTTCCCCTGAGAGTTGTTCTGTCTCCCAGGAGGCAGTGCAGTGGCGCAGTCTCAGTTCACTGCAATCTCCGTCTCAGCCTCCCGAATAGCTGGGACAACAAGCATGTGCCGCCATGCCCGGCTAATTTTTGTATTTTTAGTAGAGACAGAATTTTGACATGTTGGCCAGGCCGATCTCAAACTCCTGATCTCAGGTGATCCCCCCGCCTCAGCCTTCCAAAGTGCTGGGATTACAGGCGTGAGCCACCCCTGGCCTGTTTCTTTATCTCTTATTGAAAAACATATTTTAGATAAGAAGTATCTGTGCTAGAATATGTTTAAGTGTGTGTATTCGTTTCCTAGGCTTGCCATAACAAATTAACACAGATTGGGTGGCTTAAAACAGCAGAAATTTATTGTCTCACTGTTCTGAAGGCCAGAAGTTCAAAATCAAGGTGAAAACAAAGTTGGTTCTCTCTTGGTGTCTCTGAGAGATAATCTTTTCCAGGCTTGTCTGCTAGCTTCTGGTGGTTGTCAACAATCCTTGTAGAAGCATCCCTCTTCACCTTGTTTTCCCTGTGTGTCTGTGTCCAAATGTCCCTCTTTTATAAGGACACCAGACATTGGATTAGAGCTCACCTTGATCCATTATGACCTCATCTTAGCATTATTACATCTGTAAAGAGCTCATTTCCAATTAATGGTCGCATTCACGGGTACTGAAGGTTAGGACTTCAGCTTATCTTTTGGGGGACCAAATTTAACCCATAACAGTATGTTACAGAAATGAATGTAGAATGACAAGATGCTTAGGCAAGGAAAGCATAATTTCAACATTAGAAATGATAGGAATGTTCACAAAAAATAGCCATATTTTGAAAGAGCTGCTCTTGTTGGCTTTTTTGTTTTTGTTTTTATTTTTGTTTTTGTTTTTCAGACGGGGTCTTGCCCATCTCGGCTCACTGCAATCCTGCAATCTATACCTCCCGGGCTCAAGCTCAAGGGATCCTCTCACTTCAGCCTCTAAGTAGCTGGGACTACAGACACATGCCACCATGCTCGGCTAGTTTTTGTATTTTTTATAGACAAGGTCTTGCCATGTTGCCCAGGCTCCTGGGCTCTAGTGATCTGCCCACCTTGGCCTCCCAGAGTACTGGAATTATAGGCATGAGCCACTGCATCAGGCTTCTTGTAGGATTTTTGTTTGTGGTCTTTTACCTTTAAAGATTGTTGCCTCAGAATATATAATTAAAAAGGAAGTTATAGAATTCAGGATCTTTAAGATATATACTTGATGCTACAATACATAAACATTAAAATGTGAATGGCTGAATATAATAAAAGTGTATTTTTAAACCTTTTTGGCAGTCCAAATAAGTGTTCCTAATGAGTGAAAACTGATTTCCAGGGACCTGAGGAGATGGAAGGAGCGTGAGCTTTTTTTTTTTTTTTTTTTTTTTTTTTGAGACGGAGTTTCGCTCTTGTTACCCAGGCTGGAGTGCAATGGCGCGATCTCGGCTCACCGCAGCCTCCGCCTCCTGGGTTCAGGCAATTCTCCTGCCTCAGCCTCCTGAGTAGCTGGGATTACAGGCACGCACCACCATGCCTAGCTAATTTTTTGTATTTTTAGTAGAGACGGGGTTTTACCATGTTGACCAGGATGGTCTCGATCTTTTGACCTCGTGATCCACCCCCCTCGGCCTCCCAAAGTGCTGGGATTACAGGCTTGAGCCACCGCGCCGGGCGCGTGAGCTTCTTAAAGTCCTTCTCTGAGAGCTCCACCCCTAGAAACAAGGGTGCTGGGAAGCATATTCTTTGTCTGAGTTCCCAAGTACTATTCCATGTTATGGAAAGGAGAGCATAAATTAGTGGACAGCTATCTCTTCCACTTGGTCGTATATCTATCTGGAATTTTTTTTTTTTTTTTGAGACGGAGTTTCACTCACGTTACCCAGGCTGGAGTGCAATGGCGCGATCTCGGCTCACCGCAACCTCTGCCTCCTGGGTTCAGGCAATTCTCCTGCCTCAACCTCCTGAGCAGCTGGGATTACAGGCACGCGCCACCATGCCCAGCTAATTTTTTGTATCTTTAGTAGAGACGGGGTTTCACCATGTTGACCAGGATGGTCTCGATCTCTTAACCTCGTGATCCACCCGCCTCGGCCTCCCAAAGTGCTGGGATTACAGGCGTGAGCCACCGCGCCCGGCTATCTGGAATATTTTTAAAGATAGATCTTGCTTGTAGAAAGTGGAGTGGACATTTCTTTATGTTCCCTTTAACCTTATAAATCTGTGAAACTATGGTGCAAGGTTTTAGAAAGTAGCTTGTGGTTATCTTTAAGGTGAAACAAGTATAGGATCATAGGGATAGTAGAATAATGTAAATTTGTTGCATAAATGCAGCATGAGATATTGGTGAGTATGATCTCTGGTGCTGGTTTATCTGAATTCAGAGCCTAAACCCTAAAGCCTACCTCAGACCTCTGTCTATCCTCCCAAACACAGAGGCATTTACTAATGGCCTGTTTTATAGAATATTACATTGCAGCCATAATTTTTATAATTATGTTCATAATCCATATCTCACTGGGTTGTTATGAAGCCAGTAAAATAACATGTACGGTGCCTTATATGTGGCAGGAGTTTTGTAAATGTTAACTTTTGCTATTACTAGTATTATTTTTCCTCAACTACTAGTAAGTGAATGCAGTCCATATGAACAGAAAGAAAATAATTTTAGTTCACAAGAGTAAAATTTTTTTTTACCTATTTTCATTAAAAAAAACCACTCAGACTGCTGAGAGATGTCTAAAGATAGTATTCATTCTTCTTCCACTCTTTTCTTTTTCTCCCTTCCATCCAGCTGTATTGCTCCTGCTGGATCTCACCTCATTTTCTTCATTCAGGTCTCTGCTCATGTCACCTCTCCAGACTTCCCTGACCATCCTATTCAAAAAACCATCCACTTTCTCCCTGTCATCTTATCTTCCTTGCTTTTCCTTCATATCCATTACAACGAACTGACATGTTACTATACAATTCATAAATTTGTATTAGGCTTATCATATAAAAAATATATATAAGAAAATGGATAAGCAATTATATACAATCTATTTATATACTAAATAAATAGGTATTTAACTTCGCCTCCTCCATTAGAATGAAAACTCATAAAGGCAGTGATTTTTGTCTATTTTGTTCAGTGCTCTATCCCCCAGGATCTTGAACAGTTTCTGGTCCATACCGAGTGCTAAAAAAATACTTCTGTGGCCAGGCACAGTGGGTCAGACCTGTAACCCCAGTCCTTTGGGAGGCCAAGAGGGGTGGATTGCTTTGAGCTCAAGAGTTCGAGACTAGTGTGGGCAACATGGTGAAACCACGTCGCTACGAAAAATACAAAAATTAGCTGGG